ATTATTATTCTATTTATTATTCTCATTATTACAATGGTTATTAATAGCATTCTTGTTTGTCTTCACATGGTTATTGTGGTTACAAAGGAGTTATAACTGACAGCTACACGTTTCTTCACGCTCCCACGCACGAGTGAGCACCAATCAGCGAACAATTAGCGGACATATTTCATCAAAGTATTTCAAACTCTACAAACATTAGTTAAGAATTAAAATATTTTTCTATAGAACTCATAGATCCTAACTTAATACATCCTATAAACACACACAAATATGCAAACACATGGAAACACACACACACACACTCTTACGCAAACACAAACACAAACACTTACACACACACAAACACACACACAAACACACACGCACACTCGCAAACATACCAACGCCTAGATGTCGATATATGACACCACCATCCTACACAAGCAAACGCCGAAATTTAATTGACTGCCCATGGATTGGGAGTAACGTTAACATTTGCGTGTATCACGTTTGTGTCTCAGCCGGATTAGCGAGTTTGTAACGTCACGTGTGTCTGTGTTTGTTTGTGTTTGTTTGTGTTTGTCTGTGTTTGTTTGTGATGGTGTTGTTTGTTTGATGTTCTCCCCGCATTTTGTGTGTTTGTTATATGTTACGGTTGCTATCACACTGTTTTCATACAGAGCGTTCTGCCCATTAACCATTCATAATCAAATATTTTATTATAATTTAGCGGGCGTTACCAGATTCATTCAATATGCAGTCAATCATCAGCCAGCATAGATATACAACTTCGTTCGAAACATGCAACAGACAAACATACAACAAAACATACATACAACAAACACACATACAACAAACACATATACAATTAACACATATACAACAAACACATATACAACAAACACACATACAACAAGCGTACAACACCCTCTCGTACAACAAACGTATGCGTACGTAATTAAATACCCACACCCATTCGAACGTTAGCGATCGTATTAACAACAGAGATGAACAGTTAGGTATCATATGTTGTTGTTGTTCTGGTGGCATGTGTGTTGTTATCATTTGTGTTGTTGTTGTTGTTGTGTTGTTGTTGGGATGTTATTGTGTTTGGAATATTGTCATTTTTATAATTTATGCATGCAATACCGTTTTAATGTGTTTAGAGCTTGTTAAAAGATACAAAATACATATAAATATACATCAAAAGTCATCGAAAGTTGTATTTGGTGGTGTGCGCGTATGTGTTTGCGCTAGATGTTGCGTATAAACATTGCAGACAAGTTAAGTACGTTGTGTTGGACTTCTTGCATGCAAATTGCATTCCATATCATGTTGCGTCCAGCACTTCAAGTGATATGTTGTTGCGTTGTTGTTGTTGTTGTTGCGTTGTTGTTGTTGCGTTGTTGTTGTTGTTGCGTTGTTGTTGTTGTTGCGTTGTTGTTGTTGTAGTTGCCTTGTTGTTGTTGTCGTCGTCGTTGTTGTTGTTACATTTTCAAAGTTTACTTGGAAGGACTTAACCAAATCTCTAATTTGTAATTTGCGTCGCAGTTTTAGAAGTTGTTGAATTATTTTCACGCAGTGGTTTGATAATTTACTAAGAAATAAATGATGACTCTAACGAAGGGGTTTCCTCAAAATTAAAATCTCAAAGTAGGTTCGAACTGGTGACCTGCTGCTCTCTCATTTTCGACGTGTTTGATTGGAGTGCATGTCATTATGAGGCCCAATTAAATTTTCAATTGGTGATTCATTCATCCATCAAACAAATTTCGATGCCACGTTATCTTTTTTCCTTAATTCATTCATTCATTCATTCATTCATTCATTCATTCATTCATTCATTCATTCATTCATTCATTCATTCATTCATTCATTCATTCATTCATTCATTCATTCATTCATTCATTCATTCATTCATTCATTCATTCATTCATTCATTCATTCATTCATTCATTCATTCATTCATTCATTCATTCATTCATTCATTCATTCATTCATTCATTCATTCATTCATTCATTCATTCATTCATTCATCCATCCATCCATCCATCCATCCATCCATCCATCCATCCATTCATTTATTCCTTCATCCATATTTCCATCCATCCATCCATCCATCCATTCATTCGATCTTAATTTTTCATTTTGTCATCTCGACACAAAGTTTCTCACTAGTTATTCTCACTGATCATTCAAAAAATGAATTCAACCCTGCCTTCTTCATCGAATTAAATATTTTCCCAACCCGTCTCCACTCCATCCTCGTCTCCATTTATTTTTTTCAGATATTGTTTCACCTTATTAAAACTATTAAATTAGAAACTCACTAACTACTCAATTTAAACTGAAAACTTTGTTAAACGAACAAGTTTTAATCAGCAAATTTAATTTCAATTTTAAACTCAATTACAAAATGAAATTAGATTAAAATAAATTCTAAATGCGTTTGTCCGGTGGTAACTGCAGTTGCAGGCTGTGTTGTTTTGTATGTGTTGTTTGTTTTGTGTTGTTGTTTGTTTTTTATGTGTTGTTTGTTTAGTATGTGTTGTTTGTTTTGTGTTGTTGTTTGTGTGTTGAATTTCTTTTAATAGTGTTACATGCACACTGTGTCTTGCCATTAGTATGTTTGTCCTGTGTTGTATACATGAATGTACACAATATACATGGAGCGTTTTGTAAGTGCAACAAACATATGCTCCATGGGATTTTTTTGTGGCGATTTCATTAATTGCACTGATTGTTGTTGTTGTTGTATATTTAAAATTGTTTTGTGTGTGTGTGTGTGTGTGTGTGTGGTTGTTGTTAGTGATTTGTCACATGCTGTTGTTGTCTGTGCGTTCGCATTGTTTGGATTTTAATGGATGGAGTTTTAAGGTTTAATGTTGCGTCATGCGCTGTTTTGTACTGCGTTGCACTCGCACTGAACCACGCATTGTCTTGTTTTGTTTTGTTTTCTTCAGAGGCTCCATTTCTCCGTGCAAACATTACTTTAATGTACGGGGGCATATAAACTCACACAGAGATACATTATTCAACAGCATTCATTGACACGTACGGATGGACAGACAGACAGACAGACAGACAAACAAACAAACAAACAAACAAACAAACTTATAGACAAACCAACGAATAAACAAACATTTAAAAAACAAACTAATAGACATATAAATATACATACACTGGCTCTTGAAAGTGTTGACAAACAAAATTATTAAAGATCGTCATCGTAGCACGGAAGCGTTTGTATAATGATGCGAACGCACAAACATCTTTTAAAATCTTATATCGATTATTTAACGATATAAGATATTCAACACTACTTTCAATGTTGAAAGTAGTGTTGAATTTTTGAAAATGTTCGTTTAACAAAAGTCTGTTACCAAATATATATATATATATATATATATATATATATATATATATATATATATCATGTTTGTTTACTGTATATATATATATATATTTGTTTATTATATGTATGTATAAATATATATACTTATAGGTATGAACGTATACAATGAATGTATTTAAAGAGAAGCATACAAATAATCGATATAAGCATTGATCTATGTGTATATAGGCTTATATAGGCGCATGTACGAACGTAAGTGCACAAAATATAGGTAGGTGTGTGTACATATTTGTATGCCTGCAAGAATATTTGATGAATATTTGCGTGGAGTAGCTGAAACTAGTGCATTTTAAAAGTAAATTTAAATTTAATTCATGCATTAATTGTTGTTGATGAATTTGTGACGGTCGATTTGATTGTACGTACGTTACATGAGAGTTCGTCGCCTCTTTCGTCTACGTCTTTCAAGATTGTGTTTGCATGCAGATGAAGCAACATTTTTATCAGTGTTGCTTAGATTAATATAAATTTATTAGTTATGATTATTTCAGTTTTGTATTTGTTTGCTTGTAATATATGCATTTTTTAAGTTTTCTTTATTTATTTTGATGTCTTCAAACTATTTTCTTCGTAAACATTCAAAACATGCACCATAATTCATCGTTCTGTAAACCAGCGGTTCTCAACCTGTAGTCCACTTGTGGTCCGCCTGTTTATTATTATTCATTATTGTCAGTAAGTGAAATTGTTGATTGTAAATGATGCAATTACAATTTGTTTCATTTTCGACATAAAAATTGAGGATACGCCAGATACGCCGTGAGATACGCCGTTTTAGGCAAACATCAATGTAAAACGAACATTATACTTTTTAATTTGAAGTTAGAAAGTTAGAAATTTCAACATTTATTAAAATATATAATAAATAAATAAACTATAAATTATAAGGAAAAAAAATAAAATAAAAAATTTTAAATAACAATTTTAATACACCTGTTGTTAAGTGTGTTAACTGTAGTTCTCTAAGTCTAATAGTTATACTAAGAACTATGTTATACTAACTATGTGTAGCTGTTGCGTCATTATATGAATTACTAATTATATATATATAATTAGTAATTACTATAATTAATATAAATATAAATAGTATAATATAAATAATATATATAATTAGTAGCAAAATTTTCAGTAGTGGTCCGCGGCTGAGACGCACATTTTTTAAGTGGTCCTTGAATCTCAAAAGGTTGAGAAGCGCTGATCATAAACTTTTCACTCTGAACAACTTTGGCTGTTCTTTGTAATTTATAATTTTTTGCCAAAGTTTGATTGTTTACAATAAGAATTCTTTATTTGTTTTTGTTTATTTTTAAAAAATGGTTAATTTGTTTATAAATTTCTCTAATAAAATTAAAAAATTTCAGATTTTTCCTAGGAGCAAGATTGAGGAACAAACGCAGAAGAATTAAAACCACCTTTAAACAAATTCTCTCTGAAACTTTGTTTGGAATATATTCAACACTTTGAATGGCCAACACTTTTTTTAAATGATCGTCTTGTTAGACAAACTAGCCGTCAAATGAGTTACCATAATAATTAGCTCGCTGCAAAAAAATTAAAGAACAAAAGATAAGCACATAAATATTATATTAACTTCTACAGCAAGATGACCCCAGGATTAAGATTTACACAGGATAGCAGACATTCAGAACTTCCATTTGATAAAACTTTGATATCGCCAGCACCTCTCCTCCCAACATCAATAACCAGATCGGTCACATTTATGTTATCAGAAACCAACATGACAGATCAGAAACACGAACTCATGGATAACTCCACTTCAGATAGAAACAATTTTTCTACTTGCATCAATGAATGTAAGGTAAAACTCAGCACAGCTTCTGGTGGTCGCGATTATGGCCACGAATTGTTTTGTTTCGATGTTTTGATTGGCTGCAATTTTGCAGTTTCTAATAATTTTAACAATGAAAAAATATCGGGTACAACATTTTCAAAAAGTTTAGTTAAATCATCGTCGGTGCAAAATGCAGCCACATCACGAACAACACAAACAACAACGACACCACAACAATCACAAACTTTTATAACATCTCATGTTTCTGAAACAACAATAACAATAGTTGGCATCAACAACAACAACAACACATTAACAAACAACATTATTGTTGCCGACAACAACACACCATCCAAAACAACACCAACAACACCGGCAACAACAACAACTGACCACATCTTTCGAAAAAGTTTGAAAACGACGAACGCAACATCATTAAATACTTTTATGCCTTCCACTTCCCTTCTATTACTCCTTATTTTAGCACACATGAAACTGGTAGGAGGCAATGTAGTTACGTGCTACAGGAAGTGTTTATGTGACCAATCCACAATGTACATGCACTGCTCTGGGAAGAATTTAGAACAGTTTCCAGATTTTTACATGAATGGGACGTTGGATATCAACCTAAACAGCAACAACTTCAGAGTGAAAGTTTTGAGAAAATCAAACATGACTCTGTTGTTAGGTTGGTTCATTGTACTGTTGACCTTGTATAATTGCTTGTTTGGTTTTGTTGGCAAGTTATGGAAGTCAACAATGTGTTGGGTTGTGTGTGTGATTGATTGATTCATAAGTAAATTGTTAAAAATGGGATTTTTTTGAAGTTTTTACGCTCAAAACATTGTTTTGAAAATGTGAGATTGTTTTTTTTATGTATATGTTTCAATGTTCACATTTTTATCGTAATTAAATTTTGACATGTCTCTTCATCCACATAAAACACAACATGGCAGGAGTTAGAAACTTGTACATAAGCGACAACAGCATCGAGCACATTCACGAAGGCACGTTCGAAGGAATGACCAACCTGGAGATACTGGACATCGGCAAGAACAAACTGACCGTCATCAGACCAAACACATTCAGAGGTTTAAAACTGAAGCACCTCTTTCTCAATGACAACCGCATGATCCAACTCCTACCTGACTCCTTCCTCAATCTGCAAACCACCACCCTTCATCTTCAGAACTGCTCAATGACAGAGTTGCGCTTGGAGGTATTGGGCCCGTTGAGAGGCGGTAGCGGGCAGGGACTGACGAACTTGTGGCTGAATGACAACCTCATCACCAAGCTGGAGGAAGGATTCAAGGAGCTCCTCGTCGAGTTCACGCATTTCAGGTCAGTGGGCTTCTCTGGTTTCTATTTCCTTTGATTCTGTCTTTTTTTATATTTAGTTCGTTCCTTTATTTATTGATTATATGGACTTGAAAAATGTTTGTGAGACATGTGTGTTTGCTAATTCATTAATTCAAGCATTTTGCTTCTAATGTGGTTTGAAAACAAAATTTCTGAGTGAAACTTTTTTGAATTTTCGGTTTCTTGGAAAATTATATTTGTTTATTATTTGTGTTGTGGCGTCTTATAACAGACATCCATGCATCATCGTACAGAGATCATTCCTTCAAAATATCTAACCTCTCGTGGCATGCATGTTTTAACAAATGTATTCTGACTTGTGCAAGTGGTCTTTAAATGGGCCCCTCTAACTTTTTGTTCATTTCTTAAAAATGTTATCAAGGCAGTTAGATAAAGTGATGTTCGTATTATACGTTCATATCAGAGAATTGATTGATTCAAGCATCTCTCACATGATTAACTCAGTGCTTCTCAACCTTTTGAGATTCAAGGACCACTTAAAAAATGAATGTCTCAGCCGCGGACCACTACTGGAAATTTTGCGACTAACGCACTTGAAATTTTTATATATATATAAAATTATTATTTCATATAATGACGCAACAGCTACATATAGTTAGTATAACATAGTTCTTAGTATAACTATCGGACTTAGAGAACTACAGTTAACATACTTGGCAATAGGTGTATTAAAATTGTTATTTAAAATTATTTATTATATATATTTATCATTATATATTTAGAATTTATTTATTTATTATATATTTTCATAAATGTTGTAACTTCGAATTAAAAAGTATAATGTTCGTTTTACATTGATGTTTGCATACACCGCATCTCACGGCGTATCTGGCGTATCCTCAATTTTTATGTCAAATATAAAACAAATTGCCCACACGAGGCGTAATGCTTGAAAGACTCAATCGGAGTTCATCTTTTTTATTTAAAAAAAACTTGCACTTCACACTTTGCTCGCGGACCACCAAGCAAATGTCCGCGGACCACAGGTTGAGAACCGCTGAACTAACTAACATATCTCTTTCCACCCATGCAAAACTGTTTTTCAATAATTGCTGTTGCGTTTGAAGGTATTCATCATATTAATTATGTGTTTGTTAAATAATACATCTGTGTGTGAACTGACAACTATGTTTTTATATCTCGGAAAATGGTTGTTATTTTATTCCTGTCGGTATGTGTGGAGTTCATGCACATTTTTATGAGTAAATTATATTGCATATCTTATATCATATATTATATTTATGAGTTATTATTATTGTCTGTTATTTTTGTATGTCCATTATATGTACGTCCTTGTGTGTGTTTGTATGTGTGTGTGTATGTGTTTGTATGTATTCTCAATATGAATGTGTGTGTTTATGTTTGTTTACAATTGTCTGATTAATTGATGATTTTTACGTTGTGCGTGTTTCTGTTTGCTTGCGTAGGTCTGAGTAACTGATGCTGGACAGATGAATTATCAACCGCAGCGAACAATTGTTTGTTTACGTTATTAATCGCTTGTGGCCACTATCGTCCACATCATCATCATGAACATCATGAACATCATCATCATCATCATCATCATCATCATCATCATCATGATAATTGCTGTTGAATTAATTATTTTATATTTTGTCTTCCCACATATTTGATCATTGATGAGGTTTGGTGCAATGTACTTGGGTCACTTCATTTTGGCTCTTTTTTGTTATCAGTCGCTCGTCGCGATCATCATCATCCTCACTATTGTTATCATCATCATCACCACTATTACAAAGGCAAATACAAATGTAAACATTTAAACTAAGTTATTGTAGATAATAATAATACAAAACCGTTGTATCTCGAAAGTCTTTCGGCCAAAACTATTAACAATGTTGATCCATCCATTTATTCATTTATCCATCAATCTATCCATCCATCCATTCATCCATTTATCCATCCATCCATCCATCCATCCATCCATCCATCCATCTATCGATTTATCCACACGACAGCAATTACTCTGGAAAACGAAGAACAACATTCATTATTATTATTATTATTATTATTATTATTATTATTATTATTATCATTTGAGATGGATATAATTATTCATCGTCACAATTTTTAATCGCCAGCTGCTCCACTCTTTTCTTGTCGGCAGAGCGTCCTCACTAGCCACTCCTAGCGACCCATCTGCAGCTGCAAAATCTCTAAGTGACTAACGCACCTACTTTTGTATTATTGCCTATGAATTTTTCCCAACCGCATCATCCCTGCTATTCTTTATCTTCTCTTTGCTTGAAAAGTCTGATAACTTTAGCTGGTTGTCTAATCGTTTGTTATTTTTAACCTTCAGTTCCCAAACTCTGTGAAACTGACAAATTTTCAAAGCAAGGTCCATTTGAGGATTTCAAATGCACTGGAAACATTTGCACATCAGAATGAAAATCAATTTAAAATTCATGCACGGAATTAGGGGTTCAAATGCAAACCGCCGCAAAACATGGTCGTTGGCATTTTTTTAGAATATTTCGCAAAATTTCATGAAAAATTTTACCTCATCGATGTTCTTCCTGGACCATCGTTGCAGTTTCAAAGCTTTAGTAGCTACGTTAGCGAGTCTGTCGTTAGCAGTTTGAGGATTGTTGAGAGTCGAACGGATGTTCGATTTAATTATTATCATCTAGCATTCTATTTCTGCACTTCTTAGATAATATTAATTTCTTCAATCATTAATTTCTTTCTCAATTTTATCTTCAGCATGATAATGTTTGCTAATTTTAGTAATATTATCATTAAAGTACCTCTTATTACCTCTCAGAGATCATCATCATCATCGTCCTCATCATCGTTATAAAAATCTATCATCATCATCGTCGTCATTGTCATCACTATCATCAAACTATTCATCATCAAAACCACCACCATCATCACCACCCCCATCATTGTCGTCATCATCAGCACACCTCCCCCTTACTACCACCACACCATCACCACCACCACCCCCAACGAAGCATATAATGGAAATATGGCCAACTCTCTCTCCTGCCATTTAAAAGCGTCCAGCAGGCAAATGCATCTCAACAACAACAACAACAATAATAAGAAAAAAAACAAGTAATAACAACATCAACAACAACAATAAAATAATAATAATAAAGGCAAAATTAATAGCGCTTTTTACAGCAACAAAATAAAAAATTGACTGCAAAATCAACAATGACAAAAAACTGAAACAACAACACAACAAAATGCAAACATCACGTGAATGCTAATAAACAAATTTTTCAGAAACATATACACAACAACAACAACCACAACAACAACAACAACATCGATCCACCCAACAACCCCACAACAAAAATCATTTACAAATTACTAGGCACGGAGAATCAACAGCTCCATCGAGTAGAAGAACAAAAAATGTTGACACCAACACAAAAGTTGTTGCTAAACAAAATATCAAAAGCAACATTCATCATGCTTATGTACATTAACGCAACAAACGCAATGCTGCTAGCTCAACCGCAACCAGCAACCGCAACCTGCAACAACAGTATAGACAACAATCAAAATCTCTATACAACTTCTTTCTTATCATAGATACATCCATGACAACATGCAACACAGTTCATCATCAATAAAATAGAATGTTTTGCCAAATAACTGGCAAAATATCATTTAAGATATTTTCATAAAATAGCACGACACAACATACGTTTGTAACATCATTAATCTTGATTAAACTTAACCATTCAATTAAATTTTTAAGTGGAATCCAATTCTTTAGAAGTTACAAAACAAATTTTTTCAGTTGGAATTATTTTTATTCGTTTCATTCGGGCGTGAATTAAATATGCATGTGTGACATTAACGAACAACTCCGCGTAGGACCAACCTTAATGCCAGCAGTCTCAGAACATCTCTCTCGGTCATGTCATGCCATCAGAAAATATTAACACCTTCAAAAACAAATCCTGTCTTCGGCAAAAATGTTTCATCATTTTAACATCGGCAAACCTCCACACCACATAATGAAATGCGTAGGATTGATATAACAACAACACAAGTCATCATCACATGTGCAGTGTGCATGTGATTTGGCGCGTAACATCGCTTGAAAAACATTGCATCACATAATATATTACATAAATGTAGCGCTATTGACTAAACACACACACAAACACATATACACATACGCACGCACACACTGGTGCACTAAAGCCGCAAACGCATACCCACAAACAGACAGTCACACAGACATCCAAAGACAAAACCGAGAGATCCACAGACAAACACAACAAACCAAGACATACAAACAGACAAATAAGCACGTACACAGACACTCTCACGCACACTTGTTATTGATTCCTACATTGGTCCACATCGCTAATTATTCTCTCATTAGTAGGTACATGCATGCATCTTCATTCATTCATTCATACCGCCACATGACAGAGAGGCATCCATTCTCTCCTACTACTACTACAGTTACACACACACACACACACACACACACACACACACACACACACACACACACACACACACACACACACACACACACACACACACACACATTCTATATCTGCAATGTTGAATATCCGTATAATACACGTTATTATTATTATTATTATTATATATATATATATATATATATATATATATATATATATGGTTTATTATGGTCTATTACCAACATATATATATATATATATATATATATATATATATATATATAATGTATATAAAATAATATATACAATGAACTTCTAATCACACATATTCATATGTCATGTATGGAAAAACCATCACTTCAGAAACATGTGGACATTTAGATACAAACATTATCAAGAATGGAGAGTTCACATACAAAAATATAAAACTAAATCTAAAAAACCGTTGAACACTGCAAAACAAACATCAACAGGTGAACATGCTCAGAGATAAAAATTAAAAACGTGCAAACAAACCATTGAACAGTACGAACATAAACAGTATGAACATGAACAGTATGAACATGAGCAGTACAAACACAAACAGTATGAACATGAACAGTATGGACATGAACAGTATGAACATAAACAATATAAACATAATCAGTATAAACATAAACAGTACGAACATGAGTAGTACGAACCTGGACAGTACGAACACGAACAGTATGAACACGAGTTGTACAAACATGAGAACATACAAACAAGCACAAACAAAAACGCAAACGCAGAAGAACGCAAACCAGCAGTGACGAAGTGCTTCTTAACCGTGCTCAAATTAGTCCTTGTAACCAAATCAATTCAATCATCTGATAGCACAGCATTTATTAACATCATCAGCACCATCAACATTTCCACTAATATCATCATCGTCATCACCATCATCAACATCGTCTTCACCACCACCACCGTCATCATCATCATCGCGTCTGTATTCATTCAAAGTAGCAATATAACGATAACAAGCACAACAGATCTTACAACACGAAAAAAACATCAAAACATTACCCACCCATCATTAACTAATCAGCAGATATATTAATGTCTTTGAGGTTAATGAACATATAAGCGACAAATTGTTGAATGAAGTTCTATGATGGCCTCAACTACATCACAACTAACATTTTTAATGTTTCTTAAGTTATTGATGACATCAACATCTGTATTTATATTACATCAACGAGCCTCCTGTAACGATGTAATGAAGTTTGAACATCAGTCGAAACGTGAACAGTGAACAAATTCAAAGCAAATTCAACAGCACCAGCACATTGAGCCCCGCCAAGCCACCAACACCGTCGACAACATAATCATCTCAATTAATATCGGCATCAAAAATTTAAATGCGAACCACGGATTAACGTCTATCAGCGGCAACGCGTCAACAAAACAGAAAAACGCCAGTAAGATATTTTTTAGAAGTTTTATCAGGGACCACAAAAAACAAAAAATCGAAACAACGTGGAACGCAACATCAACAAGAACACAACAACATCGTACAGCAATCAATACCATGACACTTACCCAAAATACAACATTTTCAGCTGGAACGTAATCATAGGAGACTAAAAAGACTTGTTGCTCTGATCACAAGAACATCAATAACATTAACAACAACATCAACAACAACAACACTACCAACAACATTGAAATCAAAAACAAAAATATTTTACCAAACCAACATAAGCAACAAGAGTAACATAAACAAGAGCCATATTAATGTTGATACATTTGTCAATGCCAACAATTAAATCGAAGGCAAGCGAGTGTGTGCCTTGCATCATTAATGACTACATTTGTTGATGTTGTTTTTGTTGTGGCTGCTGTTGGAGCGGCTGTTGTGGCTGCTTTTGGAGCGGCTGTTGTGGCTGCTATTGTAGCTGCTGTTGTGGTTTCTGTTGCGGCTTTTGTTTCGGCTGTGTTTGTGGCTTTGATGCACCCACTGCTAATAACATTGTAAATCTGATTATTTTTGTTGTTCTTGGACATGTTAATTGACGTTGTTGTTGTTGCCGTTGTTTTTGTTGTTGTTGATGTTGTTGATGTTGGATATTTTGCGAATGATTTTATTAGTAATGTTTTCATGTTGGTGACATCACTGTTGATGACGTCATTAATTAAAAGAACACCTTCAACGACTTCATCATTATTAATTTCCCGATCGTCATCCTCATCGTAATAATCTGCACCATCAGAATCAGTGCCATTAACATCGTCACCATCATCATCAGCCTCACTAGCAGCGTAATCATCACTGACTTCATCCTTTCATGATTTTCTTTGTCTCAACAAATTGTCTCAAATAAACCAAACAACAAATCAAACAACGTAATGTAGAATAAACAACACAACCAAACAACCGACCGACCAATCAGCCAACCAACCAACCAACCAACCGACCAACTAATCAGCAGTCAGTAAAGCCTGATTACGTCACAGTAAAGCATGATTACGTCACACAGAAGAGGCACAATGCTGCGCTCAGCTTGAAGACAATTTAAAACCCCAAATGCAAAAATATAAGAAAAGACTCTATTATACGGAATAATTCTCATACATGTATATAACTTTTGTATATGTTTGTGTGTGTTTAGCTCAATAGTTTATTACAGTTTATACACTTTTGTTTGTTTGTTTGTTTTTGTAGCCACATGTTTGTATTTTATAATGTGTTAATGTTTTAGGTGCATGCGAGTGCGAGCTGACGTGGTGAATTTATTGAAATGAAATACTTACATTTAGAAATAATTTTTTAAATTCGTGAATGAAAGTTAGAAATGATTTCAGAAAAGTTGAGCACTCTGTGTAGGAAAAAAGAGAAGAAAAAAAAAGAATGTGATTTTCAGACGCGAAACAGGCCACAACAAGTGCGATGCAGTTTGCTATTGAAACTTAATTACATTAGATTATGTATTTATAGAAAGGTATAATTAATTATTCATAAACGTACAATTTTTATGTACATACACCTTTGTACGCTTATAAAGACATCGGCATATGAAGATATGGAGTGTGATGTCGTAAATATGAGTCTGAGAATTAATTAAAAGCCAAACAAAGGTGAAATTTAAATGGAGGGGACTGATTTTTTTCTGCACCAGCCTTGCTTAGTTGATGTTTGTTTATGCTGAGGTTGTTGTTGTCGTTGTTATTGGTGTTGTTGTTATTGATGTTGTTGTTGTTATTGATGTTGTTGTTGATGCTGATGCTGTTGTTATTATGGTTGTTGATGTTTTTTAACATTGTTGTTGTCATTTTTATTAATATTTCTGTTGTTGTTGTTGATTTTTTATGCTTTTTATTGTTGATGTGTTTGTTGTTGTTGTTGTTACTTTGTTATTATTGTTGTTTTAATTTTGCTGTTTGTTGCTGTTCTTTATTTGTTGTTATTGTTGTCTTGTTTTGTTCATATTTATCTCTTTGTTTGTATGCATGTGTCATTTTATGTACAAACGCACGTACACACGGCTACGTACACACGCACACATCTGCATGCAAACACACACACACACACACACAAACATAACACCGTATACAAACAAACACACACAAACATTAATAAAAGCAATTTGGATTAGTTTAAATTAAACTCACGTTTGAAACAATGACTGACAATAAAAAAAGGAGGTCTTTCAAAAAATTTATTCAAATATTTTGTGAAAAACATTTAATGAATAAAAAGTGAACAAAAGGAAACACAAACATTAACACAGAATAAAAAAGATTTTTATAAAGGTAGGCAGGCAGGCAACTAAATGTAAAATATTAAAAACATATAAAAACAAATGAACGAACGAACGAACGAACAAACAAACGAATGAACAAACAAACAAACAAATCAACTATTATATAATCATAATTAACTTTAATTAACTTTTTCTTAATTTAACTAATATTTTTTATATTCATAACTCTCGTTTTCCCATGTTTTATGCCTTGCGTGTTGTTTCAATTCTCTTCGTTTGACGGAATTTGATAGAAAAAATTGGAAAAATTAAACACAGAAACAAATACAAAACAAACAGACAAACAAATACAAACAATCACAAACAAACAGACAAACAAACAAACGAAACAAACAAACATAAAGAATACAAAGCATTTCATAACGCATTTTCAGTAAATATCTTTGCATCTGCATTGAAAAATTCCAAATTTAACCTTCGAACGGGTACTGAGAAGTGTTCATATGGAGTGATTGAGATTGGTTATGAAACTTGTTTTCAACGTGGATTTCAACCATTTTTTTTTTCAAATTTTTATTTTGCATATTTTCTCATTGCTTATACTCGAGCGTATGTTTGGTGGTTTTCAATGATGTTTCATATGAAGGCACATGCACACACGCACGCACACACACACGCACACGTACAGTTCAGCACATTCGATGTTCGTTGGAAAGTTTGATGAATGCGGAGGCATTTATTAGGAATTACGCACTTGAATAATTTCATTCAACACGGATAGGAAAGAAGGCGCGGGAAAACGTTGGTACAGAAATGTAGAAATATGCATGAAAGTGTACTATGATAGAAATGTCACATAAAAGGACCAATTGAAGGATTTATGAAGTTACTTTCATTACTGCATTAGTTATGGTCTTTTACCAGCATTCACCAAAATATCTACGACCAACCGAAGAAATAATCATATATTTATATAATTACATACAGACATACAAACATACACACAAACATACATACATACAAATTTACATACAAACAAACGCGGGGCGAGTGTTACGTTTGTGTACACGCACACACCGACTCACGTACAAACATACCAACATACAAGAATGCACATGCACACACAAACACTGCCTAGAAAGCATGGAGGAACGTTGATTTATTAACCATTGACGTTGGACACAATAAAATAATTGCATAAAAATTTCATGCAGCTTCATACGCAAGCAAGTATGCGTGTCTGTGTGTGTATGTGTGTGTGTGTGTGTGTGTGTGTGTGTGCGTGCGTGTGTGCGCAGGTAGTGTACGCTTCAACGTGCGTAGGTATGTTGTATGCATCCGTACACACACGGTTGTATGTATGCCTGTGTTTGAATCCATATGAAAATGTGATGATGTGTTTTTCAGTAAGAACGTAGGCAGGCAAGTATGTATCCGTATTCATGCATCTTGTCGTTTTGTGCTAATGTCATCCAGCTATCATATTTTTAAACTTAATTTGCTGGGCGCATATTGGGAAGAAATATTTTAGAGTTATTTCATGACATGACTTTGTTGAACCTTTACCTTTTTCGACCGCGGATGAATTTGATTCATCCAGTAAGAATGTCACATTTAGAAACACGGCGGTCTTCCTACTAACCTAACCAGTAGGAAAGAGTTAGGAGGGAGGCATTGGAAGGAAATGACATCGCGCCCATTTCAACATCACATCAAGTAATAACATCTGACTGGATATGAGTTGTGACAGATTTACGTGTTAATGATGATGGAAAAGACAATGATGATAATGATGAAGAAGAAGATGATGATGGTGAAGATGTTGATGATGTGGAGGAGGAAGATGTTGATGATGATAATGAGGATGAAGACTGTTGAAGATTTTGAAGATGCCAATCGGATGAAACCAGTCCCTTATTACGTAGCTTAGTTTAATTAGAACAGTTGATTTGCAATCGACAAGTGATGATAAATCAGTGGCAGTTATTTGTTTGGGTAACAACAGATTTTGAAAATCTACAATAAATGTTCGAATCATTTAATAACTTAATATGGTGGCAGAATAGTGTTGTTAGAATACTTATGGCCTTATAGCAATATATAGCTATAGCATTTTTCACATAAATAAAGATTGGTCGTTCGTTCTATTATTACATACATATAATTTTTTCAAAAGTGAACTCACAGTACTAAAGTATGTTTAAATAAATAATTAAATTTTATGATGAAAATTTTTCAGAAACATGGCTAATACTTTATTTGAATTTGAAAAAATCTTACATCAATGGTAAAAAATTGAAAAAAGTTAAGCAAACATGATTGCTTTTTGCTTCAAACTGACAAAATTTTTTTCATCTTCAGGCTGTTGATTGAAGACATTTTAGAACTTATGTTGACAGGGGAATTAAAATGATTAAATTACTTCTAAAAAAAAAATTCAAAATAAATTATAAAAGAATACAGTTTAATTTCAATGCTTAATGCCTTAACTAACAACATTGATTTGAAACCAAAGAAGGCACCAGTTTGGTAACGAGCGAACAACAACTGCCAAATTGCTTTATTTCCTCCATCATCTGCTTTCAATTTATTTTTAACTTTTATCTTTTTAGTCGCTTACTCTTCTTCATTTCATCATCATCATCATCATCTTCTTCGTCGTCGTCATCACCATCATCATCACCATCACTATCATCATCAATACAATCATCATCGTCATCATCATCATCACCATCATCATCATGAGCGCCATTAAATCAACTGTAATGATAACAATTCAGTTCCTAAGCATCCATCTTTTTTAATGGAGGATCAATTTGAAATATCAGTGCTGTCTTGATGATGATGATGACGACGACGACGACGATGATGATGTCATTGTAATGATTATGGTGGTGATGATGATGATGGTGGTGAGGATGATGATGATGATCATTATGATTTTTTGTAGTCAGGATTATGCTAATGAAATTGATCATTTGATCATGATGAAGATGCTAATGATGATGATGATGATGATGACGATGATGACGATGACGACGATGATGAGGATAATATTGATGAGATATTTTTTCAAAATTATTCTACAGTGTTGAATAAACTACACTAAACTATTAATAATTCCACTCCAACCGCTGTTCATCTTGGCACCGCATCAATATGGAAGAATATTGAACCCTGCACTTTGAAGCATGGTTGTTCTTGGATGCATTTTATTTCCCTCTCTTCCTAGCTACAGATAGAAACATTTCACCATTTTTAGCATGTAAATCAGGAATCTTTTTTTTTTATTAGTCTTTATTATTGCAGCTCTGACATACGCAGACATACAATGTTACAGATATATTATCTATATATCTTTATTATGTTCTTCAAATCCTCATCTATTGATTTGAAGCAGCCATCTTCGCCACAAAGGCTGTTTATCCTTTTCACACGACGTACACATGTATTTTATGTGCACGCGCAAGCACCGCATCATTTACGCTGAGTATATGATAGCCATTGAGATGTTTGACTCAGCGCGCATTTGAACCACTGAGCCATCTTGCCGGCCAACTTACTTGCCTTTCATCGATTTGGTCATTCCACGTGTTGCAATGACCAAACCACACTGGCCAGACTCAATCAATTTACTATTAAAAATACTTATAGCAATATTTTGACAGCTTCAGCTAATACAAAGTGCATTCGAAGGTGCTGAATCACGACTCCCTTGTTATGAGTTAAGTTTATCTTTTGATACTTCGTCATGTTTGCTTGTAAGAATTGTTTTAATGTATCTTCATGATTTCCATCTCAATTAAAGACAATTGCACCCTTGCAATCATCCAAAAGTGAATTTGTTCTCTTGCAACTGTTTGCTTCGAGCACATGCACCCGTCCTTGCAAATGTTTGGGCCGACTGTTCATCTTTTTCTTTGTCTGGTGTGCATTGTCTCATTGCAATTAATGTGTTGTTTGCATGTTGAATGCAGTATTGACTGCATGGTGCAGGTAAAAATGTGTTTTATGCTGCCTTTTCATTGGGCTTTTTTATATTTTACATTGCAAATGGTGTAACCGCACGCAGTGATTAGCTTGAATTTTCTGTTACAGAGTGTTGTATTGTTGGTCGCAGGTCGTGCAAACAAATGAAAATCAGACTTGCAAACACAAACTCAATCTCTTCATGTTAGAAAAGTTAAAAAAACGGCTTGATCACTGAAGTTGTTAGTACGAACGACCACAAACTGGACAGCACAACACAAGAGCCATTCTGATGACCTGTAAAGTAAGGAACATTTGGCAAAAATACAACACCCCACAGGCAGTTATGAAAAATTATATCAATCACATACTTCCTTGCAAATTAAATGTGCACACGCACACATCACACACACACACACACACACAATATAGACACAAACGCGCGCACACACACACACACACACACACATGCATGCACATGAATTTTGCATTTACACACACACACACACACACACACTCGAGACGCCCAACAATTACACAGCAAATCAACGCGAAAGCAAAATAAAAATGTTATTTATGAACAGCTGGCCGGACGAAATAGATGGAAAAAATTCACTTTTAATTAAGAAGTGAAAAAAATGTCACCCAGCATACAAGCGGGAGATCAATCAATTGCAAATAATTCACTCTTTAAATTATCAAAACCCAACAAACGAACCTGCGAAGGATCGCGTATGAAAATGACAACTGGCGAGAGGAAGAAAACTATTTCTAAACAAAAATATTAATAATAGATATTTGTACAATTTTAATAAATAAGCATGTTTTCAAAGACGCATTGGTGGATACGACGAATCTCAAAATATACGGAAAGAAATGCACCTCAGGTAAATCGTTAAAAATTCACACCGACACAAGACAAAACAGCTGGCGAAAACATTCACGCACACAAACCTACTAAACAAATGATATATGAAATGGAGGTGTGTGTGTGTGTGTGTGTGTGTGCGTGTGCGTGTGTGTGTTTGAACGCCTGCAACGGAATGTGCGAGTTTTGAACTTTGGTTGATGATGCCTGCCTGACTGCTGTTATTAATTAGCAACAGGATAAAACATAGGTGTGCGTGTGTGCGCATATGTGTATGTGACTGTGTGTGTGTATGTGTGCGTATTTGTGAATGAGTTTAAACACACACACACACACACACACACGCATCACTGAACATGTGTGTTAACTCAAATTTTATGCTTACGAATGTGTGCGCGCAGTCTGAAATGTCAATGTTCAGATTTGGATGCATGAAACAATTTATGCTATTTTTCTATATATATATATTTCAATTTATTTACAAATTCTTAAATTTTTTAAGCACATTGCTATGCAACCAAACTCTTGCACAGGTCTGCATCCTTTTGCATTACTTATTTGTAGGTTGTTAGTTTTATCACGTTTGCATCTTCATGTGCTTTTTTATAAACAATTGTATGTGTGTGTTAGATTGTGTGTGTGTGATTGTGTGTGTGCAATTGTGTGTGTTAATGTGTTTTTTATATATTTTTTTATCCAACAGTTGCTGAAACACACACACATCGTGGACCAACACATCATCCCCGTTACTCATGCCTGGTAGTCTGGGATCTTTCGGCGTTCGAACTCGGTCACTACAACACAAAATCAAATGCTTTCAAAAACTAAGCTACCCATTTGTGCGTGCGTGCATATATCTGTATGTATATTTGTATGTGGATGTCTACGTGTGGATGTATATATTTAGGTGTATTTGTGTGTATGT